ACTGAGACAGAAAGAAGGTGGCTTGTTTGGGAAAAGGAGGCTTTTGCAGTACGTTGGGCCCTTATGACCTGGAGGCATCTCCTAGTGGGAGGGGCCCAGCCATTTGTAGTATGGACAGACCACAAGAATTTGGAGTCTCTTACAGCTCCAAGAAAGTTGTCTCCTAAACAAGTACGCTGGGCCCAATTCTTCAGTCGCTTTAACTTCACTTTAAAATTCATACCAGGGGGAAAAAATTTTTTAGCTGATGCATTATCAAGATTGCCTCAGCATAACAGCCAAAGAGAACAGGTGGTAGCCCCGGTAATCCTTAAAGCACCACCTCAACTAGAACCTGGCTCAGTGGCCCTAACCAGATCTCAAGCAAAACTCCAAAAACAAAACCCTACCAACAACCTACTCCAAAAGATAAATGCTGCTTTGGATTCTGATGAATGGTTCCAAAATAATAAATGATTGTCATTACCCAACTTATGGAGAATTGCAAAAGGCCATTGTGTGTATGTAATAACTTCTAAGATGTTCCCAATGTCTGAAAAGAGAATAACCTCTTCCCATCTAGCAAGATGGAGCCTGAAAGATTTTTTCGGGATTCCTCCAGAACAGCTAAAATGTAGCGTTGCTAGAGTGTTTATGGTTTAGCTGCAAACACATGCTCTTGCCCCCCCCCCACACACACACAGATGCAAGGTATGTCAGGCTCAAGATGATTTGAATTCTTTTTCATTACCGAGACTGAGTTCCAAGTGTATAAGCACAAAACAAGCAGCTTTTAAAAACCTGTCACTTGCCAAATAAATTGGATTACAACTCCCATCATCCCCAGTACACCAGACTGGGAAGATTGAAAAGTGTATGGTGTTATAACTCTCATCGTTGTCATCATTCCTGGACCACAAAAACCGCACAATTAGTTGATGCTAGGATTTTTAAACATGATATTTAGTTTTCAAGGAATATCAGCATCTTTTCACATTAAGAGATGGGATTAAATGCACTGAACTGTCATTCTACACACTGGCCTCTGTAAGCCTGTGTCTTTGAGCTGATGGTTTGTGCTGAATTTTGCTCTCTAAAGGCCTCCTTGGGGCCTTGATTTTGCTTTTTGACAGACTTCAAAAGGGATAATTTTATGTTTCCCAAAGCTGTTGCCCATCAGGCCCTATGGCCAGGCTCGCTTGGTTGATGGAAGCTGAAATCTTGCACACCTGAAAAGCACTAGTTGAGTGAAAGTTAGTATATATATATTTCCAAATAATTTTATTAAGAATTAGAAGTAGAAAGAATACAAACTAATACAAACTAAAAAAAATATAGAAATACAAAAAAGAAAATTACAAAGTAAGAAAAAAAGTATAGAAAAGAAAAAAGAAAAAAAAGTAGCCTCCCCCTTCATCCCAGCAAGTAAAAACAATTTTAATAGCTTATCACCATTTCTTAATACATTTACTCTCTTCACCCCATAACTCATCTTTTAACTAAAAAACAGATTGCAAAGCCTCATATTTCGTTCTTTGTCAGCAAAAGTCCAGTAAAGGAGACCAGATATAACTAATTTTCTTTTTTATCCTTGATTGAATAAGCCAACTCTATATTCCTTTCCTGAATTTTTAACAATCTTAATTTTTAACCCCTTCAAAGATAGTCCCAGAGCTTATTATCTGTTTTTTTTAACCGAAGAATCTTTAACTTTAACAGACTTCCTTTGTACATCCAGTAAGTAAAGTTTGTCCTTTTTCAATCTCTTCTCATAAAGTCCTTCAAGACCTTAACAGATCTCTCCTGTAGATCCATTGAGGAAACGTTACCCAAATCGCTTTTCTGGTTTAATAACTGTACATCTCCTTTAGGCAATGGAACATTCCTCAGTTTTGTTTGTGTATCCAGTACATCTTTCTCCATATCCTTATCATTGCTTGACACATTTCAGTCCACATTCAAATTAATTTCAAACTTATCCATTGTAGTTTGTTCTTCTTCTGTAACTACACTGACACATGATCTATCACATCAATTAATTTGAAGACCAATATTCAAAAACATCCATTAAGGTTTTAATGCTTCATTCTTTATTTCTTTGTTAACAAAACAAATTTATTATCCTCTAGCTCCCTCTAGTGTCATACCTTCAAGGTCCCATTATCATGTTTCCTCTTAAGAGACCAAACAATTGCCATTTCCCACAGGAATTCTTCTAATTAATTCAAAACTATAATTCCAAGTCCATCTGGACCTTTAATCCATTGTTAACTTTCCAAAATCCATATTCTAAGCACCCTTTTGCTGTTTAATCCAAAAAAAAAGTTTTTTTCCAGAGCTTTTAAAATCACATTTAAAAACATCTTTCTCCAAGGAGAAGATAACTCACCGATCCAAAGGGTCTTAATATTTCCAGTACAATAAAAAAATAATCCAAAAAGTGATTAAGAAATGAGGCTCGGTCAAGCTTTATGTCCTTAAAGGCTGCGTTACAAGAATGAGCTTGATGGTGTCCCTCAACTCCTAGCCACTCAACTCATAAGCTGACCGCAAAACAACAGTTCCTGCAGTCTACTCATGAAGAGCGGCTGTCCAGAGTCATGTGGGTTATGTCAATGATCTCTCCTTCCTCTGGTCTGGATCCAGCATCTAGCTGCAATTTTCCTTGTAAATGCAGTCTTGCTGCCAGAAGGACATTAGTTTGCCATGGCACTCACTGGAAGTATCAAGTGAAGGCTAGTATATATTGATAGTAAATTCATTCTCTGTACTTATCTTCCGAGAGCCAAGTCAATACCATCCAGACACAAGAGGAAGGCCCCAACATGCTCAAGAGAACCACAAAGTTTGTGGAAATAATACACAGTTGGGAAAAAAAACTCAGAGAGAACCCCCCCAAAATTCAGACTGACTTCTGAGTAAAAGAAATAGACAGACAAGGGAAATTGAACCCAGTGTCCTGGAAGGGGGCACAGCTGCCTGGTAATATCAATCAAGGGACGCTGATTCAACTGGATATTGCTAATAGCCAATTATTAGCAGGGCAGTTTATCAACATGTATGTTTATATAGCCATGAGGATTTTGTATAAGTAATGTTCAATGCATGGGACTGAACATGGGACTCCTTCCTAGTTAGCCAAATATTAGCTAAAGACAACTAATTACTTCTCCATTAGCACTGATACAGAATACTTTGCTAGTCAAAACAGTCTCAAGATGTGTACTACAGTTTTATCACACACATCATAATATTACTGGTTAACCAATGGTAAGAGCATGATAAAATAGAAAACAATCATCCTCAAAGATGTGAAAACAACCATTTTAGGCACATTATATTCTTCCGTTTTTAGATATTCTGCTGGTTGTTGGTAGTATAGTAATGGGATTGCCAAGTTATTGTTAAAACTCATCCTTAATAGTGAAATGTGGCTGATCTTCAGGTTTAAAGTTTGGGTTAGGGCTGCCATCTTCATTGAGAATTCTTCGGGCAGTGTAGCCAACAATAGGATATTTGGCCTTGTAAACATTACTGAAGGTCTCATCCAGAGATCGCAGCTCCTCTTCTGTGAGTCCCGTCTCAATGAAATGCAATTGTGTAAAGACAGAAAGATGGGAAGGAAAGGCAGGGTAGAGAGAGAGAGCAAAAACAATGATTACTGAAAACCTGCATGCTACGTAATGTGACTGCAGAGGACTATAACTGCACTGAACCAAGTTTTTCAGAGTTCTCTAACTTTTCCATTTTTTCAATCCCTCCCGAATCCTACTGTCTTTAATGATCCTGCACTTGGATCAAATCACCAGCACCAATAAAGTCAATTTCTTAGTTACTGGCTTCAGCCCAAGCTGTGGTGAAAAGATCTGTCTTTTTCTTACTGTGTCATAAATGAGATCTGCTGGATCAAGGGACATTTTTGCAACACCTCGGGTTGAATCTTTGCCAGCTAGTGCATTGTATGGTGCTCCTTTCCCATAAAATTCTGTTCAGGAAAAATAAAACAAAGAGTAGTTAAGTGCAGAAGTAAGATTTTTAAGAACGCTCACATATATACATATATATACTGCCTCAGGTACTTCAAAGATTATGCTTCTTTTAAGAATAACTATCCATAAATTACAACCCAAGGGCTTCATTGTTCACAAGCCTAGAATTAAATGTTGGTATATTTTATTTTGGGACTTCTAGAGATTGGTTTGTTTTAACCTGACCTTGCATGATGTCAGGGCCTAAAAAGTTCTAAAACTAGTGAGCATGAAATGTTGTCTTACCTTCAATCGTGCAACAATAGAAGCATGTCCACAATTCAGATTGTCTTGGACCAATTTTAATACAATAATATAAACCTTCTAAACAACTGGAAATCCTCCAACATTATGAAACCTTAACAGCAATGCACAAGAGCTGGCAGGTGGCAAACAGCCAGTCATCTAAAAGCTAGTTCAGTGGGTGGTGACCAGCAAGGGAGAGGGGTGTAAAGAAACAAGTGAGGTACACAGCCTCGCTCCAACCAGGTAAGCCTGCCAATGCCCGCCTTCTGGACCCTGCTAGTCAGAGCTCTTTCACTGAGGGGGTCTGGAGCATGCCCTCTCTGTGTGATCAGGTGGGATGGGTTGAAATCATGGGGAGGAGGCG